TACAGTGTGTAACATTTAAAATTGGAAAAATATTAATAGTATTTAATTGATCATATATAAATTTAATTAAAATTTATTAAAATATTATAAAAATTTGAAATAAATAAAAAAGATTTTTAATATATTTTAAAACTTGCTAATGATAATTATATACTAACTTTATTTAATACAAAAATAATATATTTTCAAAAAAAAGAAAAATAACAACAATTTCAAAAAAACAATCAAGTTTAGAAAGAATATTATAAAATATTTAATTTTAATAAAATTTTAATAAAATTTTAAATTATATAATAATATTATAATAATTTAATTTTAAAAAATCAATTCAAATTATTTAAATAATTTATACCAATAAATTAAAAATTAATAAAATAACGAATGAAGCAAATATAATTATTAAATTTTATTAATATAATAAACAAAATAATCATTGTGGTTAACTTTAAAAGCATTTTTAAACATAGTAATTAGTAATAGATGATATTTTTGTTATATAATGTTTGCTTGCATAACAAAGTATTAAATAAATAATGAAATAATATAATAATTAATTTTTTTTTATTTTAAAAATTCAAAACCCATTGCACGAAATCCATTTATCATTGTAATCTTTTTGTCATTCGGTACAATTCTTAATTTGGAGATCCGAAAAAATATTGGTTCTCTCTCAAAAACATATACAGTATGTTTGAATGATAACGACGTTACAAAAACCGCAGTTTACTTGGTATTTCGCGGTTTTTGAGATGTTTTTAGTTTAGGATAATTGTAAGACAATCAAAATGTAATTGTTAGGTCGATCTCATGCAAACATGCTGATCCTTATGCCTTGAAAGAAAAAGATTATGATCATATCTCTCCTCGTGTTATTTCATAAGATGATTTAATTAATAGTCATTTTTTTATTTAATTTGTTTCTTAATACACTTAGATTTATGATGGTTTTTCTCCATACAATAATTGCTTGACCTTTTCCATAATAGAAATCGATCGAACAAAAAATAACCGAAGTTTCGACATATGATTGCATAAAGTTATCGTAATTACTGTAGCAAATTTTAACCTGCTCTCCGAGAAGGAAAAGTGCGAAGTCTATTAATTATATAACCATTGCCGACTCCGATTCCTTTTCATCAATCATACGGCGACACAACAATATACAGTATAAATTTACTGAGATAGAAAAAAAAATAATTTTTTTTTTTGTTTTTTTTTTTTTTTTTGTTTTTTTTTGTTTTGTTTTTTTTTTGTTTTGTTTTATATATACGAATAATAAAAAGAAAAATTTCAGCACGTATTATATTGCATAATCGAATCATCTAAGGGTGTAATTAAATTCATTCTCGAAATGGGTAGAACCAATTGGACAATGAGGAATATTAAAGTTGACGCTTTGCGAAGGAAGGTCAATAATATTCATGTTATTTGTATTTCCGAAAATATTGTTGGTCCAAGGAGGAACCATGCTGTTCGCAGGTTGCAAATTTTGATGTCGATCAAAAGTTTCTTCCATATCCTCTTTTTGATCGAAGATGACGGTTACGTACTTACGAGGAGGATACATTATCCTAATTTTAGGTTTGAAGTCGTTTTTTTTTCTTTTCGCGGTGGAATCTTGCTTCTTTTGTTTTCTTTTATTCTTTTTTGAATTATTGGCATCCCCCTTAATTATCTCCGATTCTTTGCTATCACCTAAACTGAACTTATTGTGCACAGTTTCTTCTGCACAAACTATTGAATCGTTGGCTGTCGCATGTTGGAAATCATCGTTTTGAAACAAAAAAACCGAGGGAGTTTGTGGTGTTTCTATACCGCAATCCACGGAACCGAATTCGAGAGGGACGTCAAAAACGTTAGTCTCAAAGAGTGGTAGTTTTTTGGTGTCGGACGAAAAGTTGGAAAGAATTTCAGAAGTATCCGAAGAAATTAAAGGTGAACGGGGGGAAGTAGACACCATGTCAACAGATGGCAAACTTTCTTCATAACGTTCTAACAGCAAGCTGATGTTCTCCCAGAGCTGACAGTTGAAGGAACAACTTTTGTCTAGTCCTTTTTCATAGCTGTATTCGATTAACTTCAACCAGCTTGCGAGATTGTCAGACCATTTTTCGTTAAATTCTGAGTCATCCTGATTATCGTTAATTAAACGATATAGCCTCCTTAATTGTAGAACCTCTTCATCTGTAGTCGAGCGATTCATAACTATGTTTAGAATTAATTCATTGGTGAAATTAAATTCCACCATTTTCTTTATGGATGAAATTTCTTCCTCCAATTTTAATACTTGTCTTTCTGCAATTTCCAATCTTTCGCGTAATGTTTGTAGGTCATCAATCCTAGAAGATCTCCTACGACCAGGATTCGGATAGTGGCATTCCTCGTCGTATTGAAGACAGTGGCTACAATTTTTCTTCGTAAAACTATCACCATCGCATCTTTTTTTATCGCGCTTACACTTATAACATGCATTAGACGAGATTTTTCTCCTTGGTTTGTATTGTTTTGAAATGGAGGGTCCTGCATGTTGAAGTCGCAAGGTATTCTCTCCACAATAACTGAGGGAGGACATTATTTTTCGAAATGAATAACCGAAAAAAACAAAAAAAAAAAAAACACAAAGGTTTTTTTCTTTCTTTCTTTTTTTGGTTTGACTTTTGGAAAGATGATATTATTCTTACTGATGTAAGAGATAATGACCTTCAGAAATGATTCACCCAGTCTTTATATATATTTTCGGCGTGTAACAAAATGAGCTCATTCAGGTACAACATACGCATTCATTTGGAACCAATCCAAATGGTTTTTATTTCCAAGATAAAGTAATCGTAACGATAAAACTTCCTTGAAAACAGTTGCATTTCTACACACATAAATAATTGAGCCACACATTGATATTCTGATTTGTAAAACTGGCATGGTCGAGTTGTACAAACCGCCGACTTGTATTTGTGGCATATCACGGACTTCCCACACCGCTACATTGAGATCGGTATTAATTTTACTACGCAAAAAATAAATATTCTAACCTGACATTTTTACTAAAGTGCTATTTGGTTAAATCAAAGACGTGACAATCGGACTCTTAAAG